ATTTGCCATACAACCGCACGTTTTCAATCATTTCCCCTCAACATTCCAGCCCACACAGCCATAAACCACCAATAAGAGCAAGTGTCTTTTACACTTTCAACATTTTGATTCGATATGATTTATTTCCAAATATCATTATTATAATAATGAACAGTTACAATTAACGGAATAGTAGTAATAGTAGCTTCTATGCAGCCCTAGCCTTGTCACTTTCTGTAATGGGTTCTAAGATGGCTCTGCCCACTGTGCCATTAATCTTGGACTTCACCATTTTACCCATCGCAGATGCTTCAGTATTGCAAGGGTTAAGTATACGTGCACATGTACAGTCGTGTACATAATGGTAACTGACAAATTGGTAATATCTCCAACTTTTGGATGTTCAGATCCATCAAACCTTCTCCCACCCCTGTGTCACACCCTCACCCCTGGAAAATGGATACAAGACCTACCTCTGGAACGTCTCCCATCAGCCAACTGCCGTTGGGATGCTTGGGGAAGTCCCGCAGGGCATACTGGAAGGCCCGCTTCCACCTCAGAAGCTGAATGAACTTGAAGACAAGGAGGAGCAAAGATGCTGCCAGGAGGGTGAGCAGAACTCCTCCCCAGTTGGCCAGGAGGAAGGACACGAGCCTCGCCGGCTGGGAGAACTCAACAGACATCGCTCTGGAAGACAAATTAATTCTGGGAAGACGGGAGAAACAAAGCACCGTTCGTAAATTTCAACCAATCGGCTGCACGTTGACAGTCCACGTGGAGAGGGTTGAGCGTGTTTCGTCTGCGATTACGCCGACCAGAACCTTCACTTCGTGGCGAATATATTTTTCGTTACCATACTCCTATAAATATATACTGTGTTGCTCCAATGTTTTAGCATAGGTCACCTGCCGATGCTTTACTGAGTTACTAAGTCGGTTAGTTAGTTGAGACACTTCCATTTACAGTAGTCGTCCATGTGCAGAACAGCACTGTTCCTATTGAACTAGCAATAGTGGGAGCAATTTCAGCTGGGGAAATGTTTGTGTAGAACGTCACGGTGGTATAACCTATGTACTTTGAAGCCGACACTCTTAACACTTCAATTTGACGGGTGTCACTATTATAGGACACGATTAATAACTGTCACGCCGCACAGTATATAGTCGCACATGTACTTACCAATCTAAAGGAGTGTCCCTTGAACTGTGTTCCGTTCTCTCGTCTTTCTGGTTCCAAGCTTGAAGATTAATCTCCAGGCCACAAGAAGATTGATGTCGGTCGATCACACGAACCCAAAAGCAGACAAGTTCCGGTATCAAATTGTTCTCGATGAATGCGTCCAACTCTGACAAGATCCCAACAGCACAACAACCAACAACAAACAACCAATTCCCAGATCAATGGATGGTTTGATAAATAGCATAACACCGCCACGGGGATTCAAAAGGGTAAATAGGGGAACAGAAAGAACAAAAACCAGAGGGGCAAGTTTTAAACAATCGATAACACTTTTCTGTTGCCGCTGCGGCGTGTGACACTTGTCTCCTTTAATTTATTATCCCCGGACTTGCGGCGGGATGAGGCTCGAAGAACCGAGTGGCTCGTTCATGAGAGGGTGAAGTAGCGATGGACGAGAGATGTTATATCATCATGCTCGCAGAATCAGCAGCACCCAACAGGCATGACTCCAGGGGTAATGTGTGTTCTAACAACGCTGAACGGACTTTTTCAACGTATTCAATCATACACTCCCAGTCCCTCTCTGACTATAATAAAAGTCCTGGGGCTGTTTCTAAGCGGCTCAGCCGGGGGATTTTCCGCGTGGGTTGCTGCAGCCTTTTCAATCGGCGGGGTTACATCCACCACGGTTCCAGGCTAGAGGTTTTGACGGCTTTTGTCTCGCTTTGAACTCCTCCCCACTTTGCGACGTTTGAACAACAAAATAAGATATGCATTCCCAGCATTAACTTTACATAACCTTCGGGCTTCAGTCTGGAAATGGGGAGGGGGGGGGGGTGTTGTTCGAAGATCAACAACATATTATGGGCAGGAGGCAAAGAAAATGACACAAACTAGCATTTTGCAAAATTCGGCTTCTGACCAAGCTTCTTCGAGCTCACCTTATACCTTTGCTAAGTCTCAGAAAACCAACCGTGTCAATGATAAGGTGTTTTTTGTTGTCACATTTTGTTTTTTGTTTTTGTTTTTGTTTTAATCTGAATGATCCTCGTGGCTACGATTATGATTCGCATCTTCATAAATCCTCCACATCAAAATACATTTGCTCCAAAGAGAGAAAAAAACAACAACTATCAATATGTTTAAAGTCAAAGAGAAAACATTCATAAAAATGAACTGCATATTCTTGTTTTCATCAATTTACAAACAGAAAAAAAACAGGCGAAGAGATACATTGGTAAACAGTTGAAGGAAATAACAATTTATGCGGCGGTTTTTATTTACAGCATTTTACGACACCAAAGTGTCTAGTTTTGATATTTCAAGAAAATACTCAGTGGGAAAAACACATATAAATAGATGTTTATCCGGTATAGGCTGTCATCTGTGACCGATTCCAACAATAAATCCGTCAAGTCGTGGCTTATCGACCATGACGACGAGGCACCTCTATACCGGAAACGTGCGCGATTACAGGTGCGTGTCTCCGGGTTCAGACAATGACTCCGTCGGACCAACTCACGCAATCACATCGTGCCGATGGCAAGTAAAAAAAAAACCCACTTGACAATGGTAATTTGTTAGAGGAATAATACTTTGGAAATTGACAGGTTTTGCATGCTTGGCTGTTCGGTCCCATATACCGACCTACATATTCAAGGTTGTAAGGTGGGCAAATAAATTGCCACTGCCAGAGACATAAAAATCACATAAAACATTAAAAATATACCAAAACTAGAGGTTTGCAATTGTCTTTATAACAATGTTCAAATAAAAAAAACCGAATATCATGAAATGGAAAAAAAAGGAAGAAAAAAATCGGTTTCGGTGCATTTATTAATTTGAACAAAATATATGTCTCCTTTAGGATCAATACATTTCAAAACATTTCATTTTCACGTTACTAATAGTTTGATGACGTCATCAGCTAAAATGTGCATACAGTTTATGCAGGTTATGCTAGATGAAGTGAAAAAAACTTCTAGAAATAGAAATATAACACTAACGTATATTAGTATTCACTACACCCAACGTCTGGTTTGATGATGCCACAGCATCATGGTGGCCATCGTCAATAATGAAGCTGACATCATTATTTTGGCAACAATGATCCCAATGGTACCGAATAATGAATTTTAATTTAAAAATGACCAGAAAACCCAAAACAAAACCCACACGATTATTTCCAAAGTCTCCCTACAATAACTTCCGGTCTGACGACGTCATCATTATGCTACTCCATTCTATATCCGCGCATCCTCTATCCATAGCGCCCAGTACTGATTACAATTTACATCATGTCCAGCCACTGGGCATCTGCGCACCCAGGCATCCAATGGGGGGGGGGGGGGGGGGGCAGCGGCGTAGCTGAGGGGGGGGGGCGTGGGGGACGCACGCCCCCCCTCCATTAAAAGTTAGCGCTCCCCCAGTGGAAATTTGGCATCCGGCGAAAAGCACAGCCCTGTTACCATGATGAGCTGGAAGATAAAGTCCACTTTTCAGCGATTTTGTGCGTATTTTTCACCTAAACCCTTTCTTTTCGGGTTTTGATTTTACGGAGGTCGGATCCGGAGAAAAAAAACCCGTCTATCTTTCAGCACAGATGAAATTTTGGGGCGTCCCCCCAACACGCCCTTAAAGATGAGAACCCTGGATACGCCGCGGGGGGGGGGGGGGGGGGGGGGGGGTTGAGTATTTGGGATTGGTTTTTAGACAGGGAAATAGTGTCGAGTCCTAGGGTAAATAACGTTCACAAAATATTTAAGTTTGGAGTCTTAGTGTAACGTACTACTTCAACCGTTGTTTTAAACGTGTTACCATTAATGCCGACCCAACCCGCATCCGCGTATCCAAGACACGTCTCAGTATTTGTAAATAGCGCCCGCTATTGATTTCAATTTACTTCATGTCCACCCACCGGGCAAGGGCGGATCCAAGGGGGGGGGGGCCAAAGGGGACCATGGCCCCCCCCCCAAAAAAACGAAATCAATTTTTTTTTATGTGACATCGCAATAACGGCAGGCAATGAGTACACCACCATTTTTTCCTCAAAAAAACAAACATTGGTTAAAGTGGTCAGAAATTGCCTCAGATCGCACCACAGAGCATATAGAATCCAAACAATTTTCGGGGCCCTTAAGCGGGCCCCCAACCCCACGCCGTAATTTTTTTGACCCACTTTTTGACATCGCAATAAAGGCAGCCAATGAGTACCCCACCATCTTTTCCTAAAAAAAAACATTGGTTAAAGTGGTCAGAAATTGCCTCAGATCGCACCACAGAGCAACTAGAATCCAAAATTTTTTAGGGGCCCTTAAGCGGGCCCCGAACCCCACGCCGTAATTTTTTTGACCCACTTTTTTGGGGGACCAACATTTTTTTGGCCCCCCCCCCCAAAAAATAGTGTTCTGGATCCGCCCTTGCCACCGGGCAGCGCTAAACTGACAACCATGTATGCTGATGTCGTTAGGGAGAAAAAAAATCGCCGCCAGGCATCCGCGCATCCAGCTGGCATCCAAGAGGGGGGGGGGGGGGAGTGAGTAGGTTGGGATTGGTTTTATATAGGGAAATAAAGTATTGAGTCCTAGGGTGAGTCCTAGGTAAATAAAGTTGACAAACCATTTAAAGTTTTGTGTCTTAGCATAATGTAATGTAGGTTGGTCAGGTAGAAGAATCACAAACATACAAGTGATGTGATGAGACCCTAATTATTGAAAATCAAACCTCTACGTAAGCTAATCAATAATGATACTACGCACTTTAGCCTAAACAACCTATTTTGTTCAGGAAGGTAGAACCAGTCGATTATACACATTATACAGTTTTGCAACATCAGCCTCATTTCACACGGACGAATTGTTGCGACCGCAGCATTTGCTCCGTCTCGCAGCATTCAGAAAATCCGAGGGTTCTGGGATGTTGTCCCACTGGCGACGTACGATGCAGCGGAAGACGGTCTTAAAGTCACGGTGCTTGGTTGCATAGATCAAGGGGTTGATGCAACTGTTGAAGAGTAGGACTGCGAATGCATACTCGCCGACGAGTGAGGCACGGTCATAAATACCCATGCTAAGGCTAACGGCACTTGGACCCACGCACAGCACGAAGGCACATACCACGTAAAACATGTTCTTAGTTACGTGGGTCTGATGGCGAATCAGTTGGCAGTTGCCAGTCATCTTTGCGGATTTCGAGCTAGCTTGGGGTCGGGTGCTGTCACTGCGGCTCGCGATGCCATCGAGTTGTGTCACTGTAGAGATGTGGGTAATGGGCTCGTTGGATACCTCATGTGTGGAGGCGGAATCGGCCTTCCTCTTTACCAGGCGGTTGATACGCCTCCAGATGAGAGCGTAGCAGGTGATGATGACGATTGAAGGGACCGGAAACATTACGACTGCCATCACGACTCTGAATGTGCGCATAATCTGACCCGGCACCAAAGGTGGGATAATGATGACTACAAAAGACATCACCCAAGTGAACACCAGCCAGAGGGCGATCTTCTTCGGCGTGTAGACCTTTAGATAGGTGGTAAGTGGTCGTGAGATCAGCAGCCAGCGGTTAAGGGCGATACACATCAACGTAAGGATGCTGCAACCAAGAGTCGTGTATTCAATGACCTTGGTCACGATGCCAACCCAAAAACCGACCAGCGTGTCACCGATCCCAAAAAGTAATGCTTGGACGTAAATGGCGTAAGCCGGTAACATCAGACAGGTCAGCAGGTCTGCCACACTCAGATTCACCACGAAGGCGTTGGTGGTCGTTCGGAGCTTTTTAGAGAGAAGCACGGCCAGAATCACCAGTGAGTTGCCGGTGGTCCCTGCTATGAAAGCGATCCCATATACCACGTGGAGAAGGATTAAATGGACATCGCCTGGGACATTCAACTGTAAGATCGCGATAGTGGAGTTGACATCATCCATAGTTTGAGATGGTCTGTAAACACGATAATGAAAATAAAAAATTATGATGAATTCTTTACATAGCCTCTAGTCCTTTGTTTAAGCGACGCATGATCATTTGCAATTACCCGGAAAAATACCTAACGATAATGACAGAAACCTTGCTCACATTTGAAAATTATACCGTGTGAAATGGTTTCGTTTGGACGAAAGATAACATATAATATGCCTGTGGGAATTTTTTTCTACGTGCTTTAGCATAGGAAGACAGCTACGAGACCTGAATGTTTTGCATAGGTTTTCTCTGTTTCTCAAAATGTAGGACAATAAATAGTATAATGAAGCCGCAACGGGTTAATTATTAATCACCCTTCTTAAGATATTGATCATTTTTGTTGCGGCCCCTACCCGCTCCCTCACTGAATCATTTGCATGTTCAAAAATCTTGTACATACAAATTAGGTGCGGAATAATCTGGTACCTGGCCATGCTTTAAATCAGTTTGGTTTTGTATGCTGTGTCCGTATTTGGTAGTCTGAGTATCACCCGTTGTCCACCGTGCCCTATCTATATCTCCGGTCCACCGCCAAGAATGCAATTTATGTGACCCCGCGCGCCACACAATTGGAGCCGACTTTACTAAATCGTGACGTCATTTCATTCCCAAATCTGGACTAAGATTGTGATTGGTCGATTCGGATGTGTTTTTGAAATACAACAACGGCTGGGCGCACATAGATCTACAAAACCTAGAGACGACCGTGATTGGATGGCTCTATTATTGCTCGGCGTATCGCGTAACATATCGTTACAGAGCGCGTGACTACATATTTTTTGCTCATTTCACCGTAAAAAAAAAAGAATAATAGATGTCGTTTCTAGGTTTTGACGAGTTCCGATAGAATGCGCCAGCTGAATGGTCAGAATAACGGTTGAGGTCTTTTTTGCATAATTAATCGCCGAATCAGCTCACATATCATAGACCCTTGCTTCGCAATTAGGGTCTATTGCATAGAATAGTAGTAGGCGTGATCAATTATTCGTCGCAGCGTGAAATCCAAATACACGATTCTTTCGTGTAATTATGAAACAATATTATGTTACAATCTTTGCTTATCCAACATGCAGTTTTACTTTTACACCACACATTATAAACAAAATTGAAAAGGGAGGATTTTTTTTAGGAAGAGTGGACGTTATAAGTTACTATGAAATTTAAAACATGGCATACATGTTGGAAATAAAATCACCAAGTAGACGATATAAATCCATTACTTGGTATTGCGTATATCCAATCAGGATATAGGAAGAAAGATTCAAACCGAGGTCCAGGGGTTACCGTACTGGAAACGAGCCTATAGGTTGAAAATAAAATAAGCCCTGCGGACGAGGTTGATTGCTTGAGCTTGCAAAACATCTGGGTGTGCAGTACGAATATATTGCGTATAAAGCACTCCAGAAAGCAAGATTTGCGCTTTGCCCAATTTTGTGTCTGTGGAAAAAGGGAACTGGATTTGAAATCTATTTTGTAAACACGTGCCTGTTCCGGCCAAAGGTATTTCAAAATGTTCACAAACATGTGATCACTGTCTTGTTTTATTCCTCAAACCTCCTCATTATTTTAACAAACAGTATGGTAATGTTGTGTTTTCGAGAAACATTCAGGAACAACCATGACTTCACAGGTTCTAGGCCTACAGCCTTCCGGTTGCAAAGGCTTTGCATTGTGCGTTGATGAGCAAAATTAGTAATCCGATAAACGTAACTGGACGCCACAGAGAGAGCAGTGAACTGATTACACCCCAAAAAGAATCGCTTTTTGAACGTTCTGCTTTTTCAAAAAATATGCTCAGTACGATTGAAATGTTAAATGATAACAGCAGAAGAAATCCGAAACTTCATGTCAGTGAAAAGAAAAATCGCCGTTATTGATACCGAAACGTCAAAACTGGTCTCCGGGTAAAGCTGACATAATAGTGGAAAAATCGTTCTAAAAGGTCCCTAAATCTATTTACTTATCCCAATTTCTAGGAATCATTATCTCAAGAGAAGGTGAACACTAATATCATCTAAGTATATTCCGAATTGTTGCAAACGCGTGTGTTACAACCTGCACTATCACCAAGGTCAATTTCGACTCGGATTTTCTGCCGAGCAAAATAACACGTAGTCTATTACCACGGCCGAATTTGGTCGCAACGCACGGTGACTGGCGCGTTGTTAGCATATTCATTACGTGACTCAGCATGACTTTGCGTGGGTCTCGGAATCGACCAATGGAAGCCCGCCAAAAAAGTTGATATTTATTTATTAATAACTCGTGAAGGAGGGGGTCGTACAAATGTTTAGTGCGCAACATGTGAGGCTTGAAAAGATTGACAGATATTGCAAACACCATTTTGTTACAGCTTTGAAAAAAACAACCGGACGTACCCAAGCCAGAGTTGTAACGAGTCACTGATTTTTGTGACTCGAGTCGAGTCGAGTCATTTTAAAGAAGTGACTCGAGTCGAGTCGAGTCATTAGGTCAACAAGGTCGAGTCGAGTCGAGTCGAGTCACAGAGTGTGGTCGAGTCGAGTCGAGTCGAGTCAAGTATTTAGCTCGAGTCAATTCGAGTCACAAATATTTGAACACTTAATTACAATAAAAAGCAACAAACACAAGAGAGAAAGAATACAAGGCACCAGTCTATTACGGAAATCCAAAGACATAAAGTATGCTGTATGGTACCCAACCAACAGTTTCCATTGCTAGCTCACGTCACAGATAAGAAGATGTGAAACTTCGGTCTTATAACTGGTTTGGCCTCGGGTCTAGATGATCGCTGACAACGTTAAAACCTAATTGCATTATACAAAACTGTTTCTGATTATTTAAAGGTGGACCCGTCCGTATCCATTTTTGTGTGTGAAATCGGGACATGAATTTAGCCAGCGTTCCACCAAGAACTTCAAAATCGCCCGAAACCAATGATGAAACCACGGATTGAGAAATGCGTTTTAAGTCCGGTTCCGGGTTTAGCATTACATGCTATAGAACCACAAGGTGGGAGTCCGCGACACGGTGTATGTTTGTTGTTTCATTATGGAGGAAGGAAACAGACTGCCGCTGTATATAAACCTACATTATTCGCGAACATTAACGTGACGTGAACAAAAACTGGCAACGCGAACGGCGCAGCGTAAGTCATTGCAAATATTTTCGCAAGTAAGTTTTGCTTTTATTTTGGGACTCGAGTCTTATTAGCCTTCCTCGAGTCGAGTCGAGTCATTCTGATGAGGGACTCGAGTCGAGTCGAGTCATTTGCTCGCAGTGACTCGAGTCGAGTCGAGTCATTTACCCGTCGGGACTCGAGTCGAGTCGAGTCGCCAAAAAATGTGACTCGAGTCGGACTCGAGTCGAGTCATTGACTCGAGTCATTACAACTCTGACCCAAGCCTATTTTTCCGATTTTAATGAAAAACACTTAACATATCGAAACGATTTTTAGCACATAGTTGGATCATTATAAGTCAAACAAACTCCGAAAGTGGCACGAAGATAAGTTCTTCAACACGGGAGAAGTGGATGTTCAAACATTTTGCCCGCGAACATCAAAATGTATGTTGTGTATAACGGTAATTTGAGCCTGTTTCATTCCAAATAAAGTATTACGTAAGCCTTACAAATCAGCCTTCGCAACCATAAGGCTTTATATTCTAGAGAGCAAGATTTGCACTTCCAATTTTGTCCGAACTGGGTTAAGTATTTATTTTCTAAACGCAATTACTTTTTTTCTGCAACCAGGATAGTCAATGACCATAATACGCATGAATTTTGACAGGTATATGTATAATTATGCTGACAAATGCAATGCATAGGCCTACAACTTTCTTTTGACAGTATTCTTAGTGAAAACTGTCGATTATTTGCCCCTAGACGATGCCCGTTGTGCCATTCAACAATTTCAGATAGAAGTGAAATCATTTGATGGCAAAATACTTGAGACTGATCGATGCAAACCAGTGCTCTGTTCAATCATGACTATTAATAACATTTTGAATGTGTTTAGGATGCTCTCCTCTCTTATGTAAAAAAATAACCAACAGGTATTTAGCAAGCTTTCTTGAGAACACTACAAGTAATCACGTTTCACAAGAGATTTTAGTGATGCGAGGATTTGAGGCATACCAAGCAATAATAGCGCCCCCTCCCCAAACCTCCTCCCCAAAAAGAGGGAAAACCAAACAACACACAGCACAAACACACAAAAAACCCATCAGCAAAATATATCTGCCAAACTTTCGCTCCAGTACCGTAGTTTCATATTTAGCTGTTCCCAATTTCAATTGGAAACAGCTTTTGTTTTCATTAACATTTGTTTTTTTCTTGGCTGTTTCGGTGTTAGCACAGCTTTATTCAATTAAATTTCAAGCTTATTTGATCAAGACCTACCACGTATACTGCTTAAGTTCCGATAACGAAGATTTGTTGAGGAGACTAACCTCCGCTGGACTTGTCCGTTGCAGACACGCTTTATCGCCCGTCAATGGAGCTGAAATGGACACTGTGGGTTTTTGGGGATCACACCTTTTTATATCGAACTGCCTGCATAAATCATCGGCAAATATGCTAGCAAGACCAATCAAGTTGTAGCGACACTGAGGGGAAATGTCTGTGCTGAAAATAACGTAGGGCCCTTCCTGATCCCAGTTGTCCACCATTTACGGAGTTGATGTCGATGTTTTCCTCGAATATTGGCAAAATAAAGATGAGGATATGTAACCAATTAATAGTGGTGTGCATGCCTGACTTAATAGCGATACAGGAATCATTAGGCTATAGCTAACCGCAGAAAAAGAGATCATATTTAAAAACAATTAACTCTACCAGTCTGTTGGTCTATACTTAGAAAAAGAAAATGTGTCAAACACATGTGTAAACACAAAAAAAACCACACGAATCTGTCGAAACGGCCTTTTAAGGAGATAAAAGTATGATGGAACATTTTACAAACTCCCGGGGTTGGATAAATGGTTCG